CTCTGTGACACATTGCATGTTCTAGTCTAGAAGATCATCATGCTGAAGTCCGGCTGCACCCCCTGTCCAAGACAATCTCCACGGCTATGAACTCGATTAGTAAGCAAAACCTCAAACATACAGTGCACTACTGTTCAAAAGTTGGGGTCTGTAAGATTTATGCTTTTGAATGAAGTCTCACACTTTACATTTTTTTTCATTGAGACTGTTCTTGAGAAACCTGTGGGATAAATTATCGGCGGCAAATGTTATAATGGTCATAGTTATAATAATAATTAATTTAACTATTATGATAACAGCATATCATGGTCATTGGTATATTTTATTTTATTTCTCTTGGTGTGTTTTTAATTATGTTGGCCAATGAGACAGACACCATACTGTTCAATGCAAAGATATTTATTTATTTTATGTATTTTTTACTGATAAATACTGAAATTCTTTAAAGGGATAGTTCACTTTGAATTTAATTTTTGATATGTTTTAGCTTACCTCAAGGGCATCCAAGATGTAGATGTCTTTGTTTCCACAGTATTTTAAATTTTGACATTTTTCGGTCAAACCATTCTTGTCTATCAGTCATATAATGCAGGTCTATGGAGCCCACCTCAAAGAGCATGCACAGAGAAGTCCAACTTAAACATGATTGAATGACTCGTAAATGTAAGTACACACTGATGGCCTAAGACACTGTTCGTTTTCTCACACAAACCGCTCGTTTCGTATTTATATAGTTTTTACCTTGTGTATCCACAGCCAGGTCCAAGTGATCTGAATCAGTTATCCAATGTCCAACCGAACTGAACTGAACCATGTCCAACGTTCTGCTGGAAGTGATCGCCTGCGAGTCGACGTCACTCATTGTTTACACTGAGATTTCGGATGTTTTACCTTTCACTAAACATATTTAGATATACATGAAATCGAAATGGAAGACGATTTCGGTATATCTAAATTTGTTTAGATCTTCACAGTGAAAGGTAAAACATCCAAAATCTTTGTGTAAACAATGAGTGACCTACACGCGCAGGTGATCACTTCCGGCGGAACGTTGGACATGGTTCAGTTCAGTTGGACATTGCTCAGCTAATTCAGATCACTTGGACATGGCTGTTATATAAATACTGTTTGTTTTCTCTCACAAACCGCTCGTTTCGTGTCTTAGGCCATTAGTGTGTACTTACATTTACGAGTCATTTAATCATGTTTAATTTGGACTTCTCTGTGCATGCTCTTTGAGGTGGTGACCATAGACCTCCATTATATGACTGACAGACTAGAACGGTTTGACCGAAAAATGTCAAAATTGAAACTACTGTGGAAACAAAGACACCTACATCTTGGATGCACTTGAGGTAAGTTAAAACATATCAAAAATTAATTTCAAAGTGAACTATCCCTTTAATTCAGGGGATCTTAAAGTTATGGCTATGCTCTTGTTTCCAGATGAGATATAGTCGTTTGGCCCTGTGATTCTTCAGGACAAGATCTTGATGACATCCACACTCAGTACGTGATGAAGGTGAGTTTCACAAAAGCTGCCACTATCACAAACCAAGAGACAGAACACAACAGGCCTTCATCTATATGAACTCACCCATATGTAAGGATGGGTAAAAGCCGCGTTGTCAAGCCGCGTTCACGCGAATATTTATTCGGGTTCAAATAAATATGGCTGGGCAAGATAAATGCAAGTCTTCCTCTGTGTCGAAATCCTTAGACATCCTTAGAACGAAGATTGTTTTGTTTGCAGTGTGCGTCTCCCTCAGACTGTAAACTAAGCTCGGGTGCACCAGACACGTCAGCAGCGTCTTACGTCAGCAGCGGCACTAAACACAGATTGACAATAGAACCGGAAGACAATATAATGCTGAATAAAGTCATAGTTTTTGTTTTGTTTTTTGGACCAAAATGTATTTTTGGCCAGATAGTGCAACTGACCAATAGCAGTTGAGTATTCCAGCTTGTATGTTAATGTGGTGTGTATTCTTCTCATTTTAGCTCCTGCGTCCATTTGGGCTGAAGGTCGAGACAGAACCAACCCAAAGCTGGACTGTAACCTACTGTCATATGACAGACTTCATACTGACAACTACTGGCGTGGATGCGGCATCACATGTTTTTCAACAAAACCTTTTTCACCTAGAATTTAAAGTGTGGATTAGTCATCCCCCATCCCTCCATGTCTTCATCTCTTGTGAGTGGATATCATTTAAAACATTCTTAAAAGAACTCCTCAATTTCTTCTGAATTTATAGTATTTATTGTTCTTGTCAAGTAATATTGCTGTAATCCTGTTAATGAATGTACAGTATAAATTGCAATCACGCTTGTGTTGGACAGGTGTGGTTCACAGGTTATAGACATTTTAGAGGAGGTAGATGCTGTGTATTTAAAGGTGTTCTAAGTCATGTTTATTTGTACTTATTTTTATTTGTACTTATTTTTCATCTTATTTTTGTATATAAATCATTATTACAGTGGAAAAAATTGCTATTTTTTTATTTGTAAATTAGAAACTGATTTTTTTTTTACCATTGTACAGCACCACTTTATCACCAATAATGTTTTATAACTTTGTAGTCAAATTATTGTTTTATGTCACATGTGAGAACAAATGCAAGTTTATATTTTCTTTCAGATGTAATTTTTGTAATAAAGTCTGTATCATAGAATGATAGCTTCTTTCTGTTGTTATTTTGTAGGTGTTTGTTGTAATTGAATGGCTTAAATGTAATTCAAGATAATTTAGTAAAACTGCAGTTTTGCTGTAGTATTACTACAATATTACTGTAGTAGAACCATGGTATCAAAACCATGGTTTTTAAAAATACCAGTTACTACAGTCATGGTTACTATGGTTTTACTGTAGTATTACTACAATTTTACTGTAATAAAACCATGGTATCAAAACCATGGTTTTTACCAGTTACTACAGTCATGGTTACTATGGTTTTACTGTAGTATTACTACAATATTACTGTAGTAAAACCATGGTATCAAAACCATGGTTTTTAAAAACCATGGTTCGCACCAAAATACCACGGGTTACTACGGTCATAGTTAACTACAGTTTTACTATAGTAAAACCATGGTTAATTTTCGTAAGGGTATAGATGATGGCTGCCTGCGCCTTATTAGAATAGGCTATACATCAACCAATAAATCGCCTTTACTCTTTTCTTCATTATAATCTAGTCTATTCTTAAAACACAGCGTCATCATCGACCCCGCAAACTTTCGGTAAGTTTGAATATTAACTTGATGGATGTATAATTTTGCTTTTTGTGTTTGATTAAACTCTATATTCGCCTAAAGGACTGGCGATAATATATCCGGTAGAAATATTTAAATTTTGCTGCGCCATCATGATGTAAGTTTATCATTTAAACGCGTTTTTAAACGTTTTGGTTTGGATACAAATTATTTCAAACTGCTCAGGCACAGCAGCGGGAGAATTCATTTTGTAAATGCTGGTTTTGAGACCAAGGTGAACCATAGACTGTGGTGAACTTGTGACGGTTTTGCACAGCGCACTTGAATCCGACTCTGAGGTCTCAAAGACCCCATTTACACCTGATATTAAAATGCGATCTGTATCCAGATAAGTTATCCGGATAATAAAAAATGCATGTTAATGCAAGGTGTAAACGCGTTGTGATCGGATCGTGATCGGATCTGCCTGACCACATCTGGGGGTAGTCTGGCTCGCATTGTGTCCGGATCTTTACTAGGTGTAAACGCAATCTGGTTGTTGAAACCACATAGTTTACTCCTCCCAAAAATGCAAAAAAATAAACGAGTGAGAGCTTGTTATATAGGCAATATGTCATGTTAGTCAGATATGACGGCGCTACTGTGACACGCATCACCGCAGATGAGCAGCTGAGCGTCTATTCATCGAGCCAACGCGCAAACATCGCAAACAAAAGTGAAAGTAAGTCACAGACGCTTCATCTTCAAGTAAAGAAACGAAATTATCTTACCAGCGCTGTTGCCACTCTCTTATTGATGGCTTTGATTTGGAAATTAGCTGATGATCAACTAAATGCAGCTCAGATCTGTTGCTTTTGGTGTCGTGCAATCCATTAAATCTGCATATAACGCGGGAGTTTAAGATCGGATTTATATCCGTTTTGCAAAAACACATTTATGTGGCCAGGTGTAAATGGAATCAGTACTTATTATCCGGATAACTTATCTGGATACAGATCGCATTTTAATACCAGGTGTAAATGGGGTCAAAGTGACAGACGCTGCTAATAAAGCTGCTGTCGCCATGTGTGTCAATAATGTTAATCAAACATCAGAAAGAAAGTAATTTACTACATTTGACTGAATTACTTTTGCAAAATTAACAATAATGAATGTTGAATTTATAGTGAAAACCATGTATTGTATATTTGATTACTTTATATAATATAATATAATATATTATGGAGGGGGGGGGGCCCTGCAGTAACTCATAGCCCCGGGGCCCAGTGAGCTCTTAATATGGCCCTGAATAATAGTAGTAAGTTTAGAAAATATCTCTGGCCAAACTATTTAAAAATGGCGGGGTTACTCTGGATACGCCATCTGGCGCGTGCAATGACGCACGATTCTCTCTGACCAATCAGCAGTCGGCATTGTTTTCACGTCACATTTTAGTATCGCCTCAGCTCGCGCAGAACCTCGCCGGAGGTGGTACTAAAAAAAGTACCCGAAAGCAGGAAGAGGTACAACTTTTACACAGTGGAAAACCAAACAAAGGGGAGTCGAGCCGAGTCGAGCTGGTATAGTGTAGTGGAAAAGCGGCATTAGAAATTTCATTCCACAAACAGGACAGAGGTCAGTCTTTTTATTAGGTATGCACTTCTGGTGGTTCTTCAGTAATGATGACAATGCAAATATTTTACAGCAGTGATCAGTTAAATTGCCATACAACAGAGTGAGAGCGTGCAGATGACACCACAGTTCCATTAAAGTCTCTTCTCACACGGATGACATGCATAAGGCATCTCTTAAGAGTGAATTCTCACATGAATATTAAATGCTTTTTTACAGGTGAAACTCTTTCCACACTGAGAGCAGGTGAAAGGCTTTATTCCAGCATGAACTAACATGTGATTCTTCAGGCTTTCTTTACGTTTAAAAGTCTTTCCACACTGAGAGCAGGTGAATGGCTTGATTCCAGCATGATTTAACATGTGCCTCTTCAGGCTTTCTTTACGTATAAAAGTCTTTCCACACTGAGAGCAGGTGAACGGCTTTTCTGAAGTGTGAATAAGCACATGATATTTAAGGTGTCCTTTCTTTTTGAAACTCTTTCCACACTGAGAGCAGGTGAAAGGCTTCATTTCATTATGAACTAACATGTGATTCTTCAGGCTTCCTTTACATACGAAAGAGTTTCCACACTGAGAACAGGTGAAAGGCTTGATTCCAGCATGTCTTAACATGTGATTCTTTAAGTATCCTTTACGTGTAAAAGTCTTTCCACACTGAGGGCAAGTGAAAGGCTTTTCTGAAGTGTGAGTTACCAAATGAGCATTAAGGTGTGATCTCTGTGTGAAACTCTTTCCACACTGAGAACAGGTGAATTGTTTTATTCCAGCATGAATTAGCATGTGCTTCTCCAGGCTTCCTTTACACACGAAAGAGTTTCCACACTGAGAACAGGTGAAAGGCTTGATTCCAGCATGAATTAACATGTGCTTTTGAAGGTATCGTTCACATGAGAAAGTCTTTCCACACTGAGAGCACGTGAAAGTATTATTTCCTCCAGCATGAATTAACATGTGATTCAAAAGGCTTCTTTTATGTTTGTAAGTCTTTCCACACTGAGAACAGGTGAAAGGCTTTTCTGAAATGTGAATAAACAAATGCTCATTAAGATGTGATTTTTGTGTGAAACTTTTTCCACACTGAGAACAGCTGAAAGGCTTTTTTCCAGCATGAATTAGCATGTGCTTCTTCAGACTTTCTTTATGTTTGAAACTCTTTCCACACTGAGAACAGGTGAATAGCTTTTCTGAAATGTGAATAAACAAATGCTCATTAAGATGTGATTTCTGTGTGAAACTCTTTCCACACTCAGAACAGCTGAAAGGCTTTATTCCAGAATGAATTAGCATGTGCTTCTTCAGACTTTCTTTATGTTTGAAACTCTTTCCACACTGAGAACAGGTGAAAGGCTTTTTCTCTTCTGTTATTTGGATGCTGCTTTGTGAGCAACTGTTTTCAGTTTTGGAGCAACTCAATGGCTTCTCTCCAGCGGTGACATCATGAGCTTTCTGATGATGTTTCTCCTCCACTTCATTCAGATCTGGTCTTTCCTCTTTCACTTTCATCAGGCCTAAAAAGAAAAACATTAAAATGATAAAAATCAATTGGGACGGTTGGAAAATAAAAGTAAATTAGGGTATGTTTACACAACAACGATGGACTAAATATTTAAATGTTTTTTGCTTCACATTTAAAAAAAAAATGTGGGCAGATGACAACGTTGTCAAAACAATCCCTGTTCACACAAATCCATAAACTAAAACCGCTGTATTATTCTTCATCTTCATGATTATGGAACAAAATATAGGCAAGTGATAAGACTATAATACCTAATAGTGTTACAATAATAAGAGCAGCCCTGACTCCTAAGCTCGATCAAGCTTTATTCAATGCTAAATAAATCATCACATTACTCTAATTATATTATAATTGATAATATTATTTCTATTATTAGTAGTATTGCAATATCTAATAAAGAAATGTACGTTACCACTAGTTAGAAACACTGAATTCTCACCGGCTCCTCTTTTGCCGGGATGTTTTCTCTTTAAGTGCTCCGACATGCATGTTGTGCTCCCGTGAAAAGCAAGTTCCGCCTTGTATGTATTGCACAAGACAGCATTGTTGGTTTTATTTTTTGTGAAACTTTCCCAAACCTTGCTAGTTCGGATTTGTTTGCACTCCGTCATAATTCGCGCTTTTTTCCCCCCCACAATAGCATTTGTGGCTGCGTTACACTCTAGCGCCAAAGCGCCGTAGCGGTCAAATTGTGATATTGCATGCCCTTACAGTCAAGTGAGACCAAACGACTACTCGACAACAAAGATATTTGTCGACAATTTTTTATTAATCTAATATAATAATACTAATAGTTTCAGCCCTAATCTCAAGCCTGAATAGTGGAACCTGATTGAGTTGCTGAGGTCCTTGAGCCCTTTGAGGCAGCAACCGTATTTCTGAGTTATAATACATTATGCTCTCTGCACTCCCACAGCTAGAGCACAAACTTAAGAACATACAGAGTCCAGATCTTGAACTTATTAGCGGCTTGTTATTAAATTAAGAAATTCAAGACTTTTAAAGGATCCATGATGTGCACCTTGTTTAAAGCTTGTTACCACAACAGTCATTAGAGATGAATGAAGAATACACACAAACCTCCTTGTTCCTCGTGTTTTATTCTCCAGGGTTCTGGTTCACTCATGTCCTCTTCACTCTCCTCTTTAACAAACACCATCTTCACAGCAGCAGATCTCAGTTCAGTTGATACTCCTCCGGATATTCCTGCTTGATTCAGAACTTAGTCACGTATATGAGGATGGGAATATTACAGGTATTTATTGAACTGATTTAAAATGTATCTTTCTATACACTAAGAGTAAATTTCTAGCAGTTTGTATTAGGCCAGCAACGCGACAAAACAGCAGAGATCTTGCCGAAAACTAATCTTCTTCCTCTGAGGTAGTGGTCGGCAAACAAACGCGTGTGTCTTACCGCCACCGACTGGACTGGAGTATGAAGCGTCGAGAGGAGAGGAAAAATATGGGGAAGAAATTATTTAGCTCGTATAGAAGCTATATTGCATTTTCTCTTTAAAAATAGATTTGCACAAAGAAGAGAAAGGGACTTAAAATGTATTACAACCGTATGGGATTCGAGTTGTATCAATAGCCCAGACAGCAAACTGACATATAAGGCTTGTTTGAGATGCGCCTCGCCTCGCCTGCAATGTAGTCGAGAGTAGGCGGCTGCAGTGAGGGGAGGAGTGAAAAAAGCGCAATAAAGCCGGACAGATCTCGGTTCTCGCAGTAAATCAGACACCGGTGAGATTAAGGCGGATATCGCGGGATTAACGGGATTCACGCTCGTGCACGTGTTGCTAATAAACTGGATGTGATTTAAGTTCTGTTGCTTTTATATAAAAATAAATATAATGAGCAAGACACCCAAAGTACTTGTTAAATATGTGTTTATCAATCTTTTTTTTCTTTAATACGTGTTTATTGTTTTAACAAAAATGAAATATAACCCATATGGCACTGTCAGAGAGTTTATTCACCCATATGTATACACATAAAACATATCAGTTTTAAAATCAAACGTTTTAAAAGAGAACAATTCATCTGTTGTTCTTTTATTTTTATTTATTTAACTTTTTTATTAGAATGCAAGTTACAAACATAGCCTACCGACAAGCACCACAATTCGTGAAACAAATAGGCCTATTATACAGCGACAAATAAAACATCAGAATAAAATTAATAATAAAATAAATAAATCAATCAAAATAAGCTTAGCTTAAATAGACAGACTTACAAACTTCATCATCTATAAAATGAGAGCTATTTTTCACTTGAACATTTTAGAGTAGGCCTAGTATATTTGAGTTACTGACTATCCACAAGTTTCCTACGCCCTGAGGCCTTGCGTCAAAAGTGGGCGCGACTTCCGGTTGGAAGTAAACAAAGCGCAACTTGACATGCTTGACACTCGTTCATTCAACAGTTGACAGTCATTCAAGTTATAGCGATCCAAACTAGATAACAATGTGGGAACACAACCTCAACGAAATTCAAAAGGGTGAAATAACAGTACCTTTACCCTCCGCAGTAGTTGATTGGGAGTATTATAATAACATTATTAATAATCAATACTCATCAAGGCATGGTGACAGACAGTTGTGCGAGCTGACAAACAATTCAAATAAAAAATATACACTTAGTCATTGTGGTTTGGAGTTTATTCAAAATGAATGTGCTGCTTGAATACATTAACTGGCACATATTCTGTCAACACAGGCTTTGATCATGAGTTTAGGTGTAACATCAGTAGAGAACAGCCAATCACAAGCTGATAGAGTTTATAGAACATTAAGAATTTAAACAAATGTACACAGGAAGATTCGTCGTCTTTTGGGAGTTGATGGAAACTACGGTCGTTGGCAGGATCAGAGACGGGCTCTGGGAGGATCACTCTGATTTCGTTTTCAGCTTGTGTTCAAAACAATCCCGTTTAAGCCACTAAATTAGTTTAGTCCGGTTATACATACAACCGCGAACAGCACATGTTGTCTCTGAGCTCCGTAACGACATCTCTCATAAAGATTTGCGTCTTTAAATAGTAAAATTTCCTCTTCGCTAACTAACACACAAAATACCATTGGAATGCTACTTCCGCCGCGTCACCGGAAGTTTCACCCACTTTATTTTTTACAGGAGGAGCGCCCCTCGGAAACTTGTGGATAGCTGTTAAGGCAAAAATTCAATAAACAGACATCACTTCGTAAGAGACACTCTGAGTCAAATTAATAAAGGAAAAGGTTTATTATTCTTGCAAGAACAATAAGGCTCAGTCACCAACACAGATTACTGCGAAGTGGAGTGACGCCCAGAACACAGGCCGGGGTGAAGACTAAATAGCCCTCCCCAAGGTTATTTACTGCAAGCCAAACCTTCTCTGTAAATTTCCACAAAGTATAGGATTCATGATGCCAGGTTAGATTTACTAACCCCCTCAACCCCTCCCAGTCTAAGATGACCCCTGACCCGGCCGGTCCTCTGGTGCCTAGCTCCACTCCTGATAAGGGAGAACAAATCTTCCCCCATCCCATAAGACATTCCTCTGTGGTTACATATAGAAAGTGAACATAATAAAGATTAATATATGTGAGATTAAAATTTCCACAACAATTCCCCCTGTTTATCATTAGGTTACCCATAATCATAATAATAAACAAAGACAAATTTTAAGCCCAACATCACATTTATACCCTTCAATTGATTTTCGCATAAATGATCACTCTGCTTAAACATCTGGTGGGAAAAAAATAGTATTTGTTAAAGAAGAAAGCTTAAAGCTGTTTTTGCGGAGTAAAGCTCCATTAATTGTCTAGCAAGCAAGTAAAGCATTTTATTTGAAGCCGGGCTAAATGAATAATCACTGTTATTGCACTCCTGATAAAAATCAGACCCTCAGTCACTCCAAATATATAAGAAATAGGTTATAGATTAGCAAGAAAAACAACCAACAAAACCCCATAATTGTTCCAATATGATATTAAAATACACCAAAATGCAGCAGTCCTATATCGCTACAATTGGCAGTACCGTCTGGATTATCCAGTACACCCATCCTCCCCACATAGACATGAACCACCCAACCCATGCCCCATTAGCATGTTCAGGCTCCTTTACCGCCTGTCTCATGTGTTCAATCCACCAGTTATGTTGTTATAGTCTGCAATGTTAAAACAAGACTTCTAATTCAATTTAGTAAGCCCTATTGAATGCCGTTTAACAAATCTTACCAGACAAGACTTATAATTTTATCCTTTCTTGTAACCAAATTAGTTGTTCAAAATTAACTCTAATATTTCTAGTACAGACACATCGATCAATACATTTCCTATATTTGCACCAATCAAATCAATACTTAGTTTGATTCAACCAAAATCATCAAAATCATCACAGAAACAAATTCTCCTGTTAACTTAAACCATCAGTTAGCAGGTGGTTCCTCCAGGTGTGTTGATCATCTCGTTCGCCCCATGGACGTTCCATGTTCACCAGGGTGACACTTTGCGTGCCGTCGCAATGGTCTTCCCACGTCGGGAGGGAGGCTGTTACTAGCACTAGCCTTTGACCCCTCACTTTATGCTCTATTGGATGGTTGAGGCCTGCTGGTGTTGTCTTAAGGTGAGAGGCTTGGACCCAGTTGTCACATTCTCTGATCCTTTCAAGGTTTCCCTTAATTCACGACCGCACCCCCACTGGAGTGAACCATTTCTTGCCTGCTTTCACCTGCGAACAGAGACCTTAACTATTCTTGTTAGTGACAACATCTATTAACTCATCTGCTTGTCTGGCCGGTCTTCCCCTTTTAATGTGACCTGTGGAATCAATAACCTGAAACATTATCACTGGATCTTAATATCATTCAGAGTCCTTTTTTCCTCTGGGAAACATTCAACTCATGTCCTCAACATAACGTTTATACATTTGAAACAGAATCAGTTCTGTTTGCTGCAATCCATCCTGAGATTCTGTAAAAGGAAAATCTTAGTTATGCGCTGCGCAGGTGTGACACCGTTCCGTCACACTAATAACCCAGGCCAGGGTAGTTAGCCAAATTCATCCCTAGCCATTATTTTATTAGACACATTCTGCTCATGTCTTAAAAGTCTGCATGATCTGTAGAGAAAAAGAAATGGCGAGGTTATTTTCAGAGAGTAAAGTACACGTAGTTTCTTTTGTCCGCTGTGCTGCCATGGCTTCGCTGCTGCCTCTGCCCTGGCGTCTCCTGTTGAAACAGTCCTTGCAACTGTGTTATCAGCGTGTGCAAACCCATATTTGGCAATTGTTACCATCCCCCTTTTGATGCATGACCCAGCTCATGCATCAATTCAAATTAATCTAATTCTCCAATCAACACTAACCCAAACATCATCCTTCAACCAATTTTAGCCCAGACATCTTTCTCTGCCTCTGAAACAAAAATATTACTTAAAGGCCCAATCTCACCTTCTTATCGAAGTTTTTTTTAAGGGCAACGGCCCTGAGTCTCACAGCGAATCCTGCTTTTCAGGCCTGTTGTTTGGTCTCTCAAGTCAGTTATCTACAAACATTTCCAAAGTCATCAATTGTTTCTATCAGGTCAGGTCGTGCTGTACAGACTTAGTCTATGTCAGTCAAACATGTCAGTTCAGTTCATAATTGTTAAGGACTCTCTTAATAATTCGATATTAACTTAGCCATTTTTCTTTGTTGTTGCCGTCAAATCTACACCCCTTTCGGTGATCTCAACCCCTGACAGACGTCCGTCAACAAATTCACAATTCCAATTTACTACATCATGAATGACAAAACTATTACTACTAGACAGAGCTTGATGAACAATCAACTTAAAGCTCGTCAGAATTTTCCTTTAAAGTTTGTCATTTGCCTTGGCCCATCTGTGATGATAAAACTCACAAAAGCATAAAATGCTTTCACTATTAAACACACACACACACACACACACACACACACACACACTCATACCTGACTATGAACTGCATATTTTCATATTCAAATCTTTCGAATAAGATTTTAAACTTTACATTTTCTTGTAACCTTTACCTAATTTCACATGGTTTCTAAACCATCTTTCAAAGCATGTCTGTTCATTATTCATTCGAATTTAACAAGGTCAGCTGGTTGTTTTGGTTCATTATCATTATTTTGCTTTAGCAGGCCAATAACAGAAAGACAGACACAGTTTCCATCCCTTCCTCCACTCAAGTCTCTCTCACTATAACAAAATAATCTTTTCAACAGCCTCCTAAGACTGTAACTTAGACAACATTTAAACTCATTACAATATCCTTTGACCATTCACCTTTGTTATCTAGACTCTTCTTAAATCTACAAAAGCTGTCTTCATCTTTAGTCACCACCATGTCTAACGACCTTCAGGAGTCAAAATTATGTTAGACATATTCTAAATCTACACTATAATTTTCCTTGCCCATAAGGTAACCGACATCCAAAGGTTTTGTTACTGTCTCCACAACAACAAATGGGAATCACTTCATGGC